CTTCAGTCATTTTATTAATCTTTTCATCCTAAATTATTTTGAAGCCCTAAAATCAAAATATAGACAAAATTATCCAGCTTTATCTTTTTGCTATCCTTTTAGGAGCCTAAAGGGCAGATGGGGATAAATGACATTCTTAAACAAAGCTAAATAACCATTTACCCTGAATATTTCCTCTGAATTCATGGCCAGCTTTGAAGAGAGGTTTGTTTTACTGTTTTCCCTCTGTCTCTAGTAAAGGATTGCTTTCCTCAATCTCTAACTCTATACAGTTTTCTAATTAATCAAAACAGAGCTTAAATGAAATCTAGACTGCTTAAGATCAGGAACTTGACTACAGGCTTCATCAGTAACAGTAATATCTAAAATACTGTTTGAAAAGACTGGGATGGCTACCAGAAAAACAGAGTTCAGGGAGGCAAAATTTGTGGGAAGAATGACTCGGCATACTCATCATTTCTGGCTCCTAGAAGGACAAAGTTTGATGACATTTCCTACAGCTGAAGTGAAATAGGCTCCCAGTTAATCAGCTTTTCCAGTCTGACTCATTCACCTAGCCATATTTTGCTTATTTCTTGATGTTGGGAAGGAGATAAGGTGATGAAGATAAAGAACATAACTTTATTATTATTGGGAAGTAGTATATCTCTATTGTAAAATAACAGATTTGCCATCGAGGTAGCACATCAGTTTTGTGAGAATTTGGTTGGTATAAGCTAAACCAATAGCCTGTGGATCCTGAGAAAGTTCAGTTTCTGGGCCTCAAGCCTGAGGATCAAACTTTAGATGTAATGATGTGTTGAGCCATTACCATTTTAGAGATACAAACTGACATCTTCCTAAAATATTTTCATCATTTAACAGTGGAGTTTAAATACCACAACAACTGGTTGGTTTAGCCAATTTAATCAATTGACCATTTTGAGTAATTTATTTGAGCTAACCAACTGTCATATCAGTAAGGGAAAATGTCAAATCATTTAGCTGAAGCTTTCAATGTATGGAAAGTATATGTATAGATTTCAATTTTAAAAACTTTTACACCATTGAGCTTATATAGCATTTCAGATGATATTTAGTAGAGTTAACCTACCGTCTGTGAGATTCTGGTCTGCACAAGATGTTCAAGCCTACAGGTGTCTTTGGGGGAAAAATGAAAATTGGAACTCTTCTTTCTTCTTTTTGTTCTTGGGACCAGATTCAGCTGGAAGCAACTGGTCTTAGGAATGTACTGATTCTGTAATCCATCGATCTGACTACATGGATTCCACATTGTTAACTGATCTGATAGCCCTCTTAGTCACTTGGTGAGGTTCAGACAGTTAATTTGATGCAAATAAGCACTCATGTTGGTCACTAAATTTTTAGGCTGACTTCTACAAAAAGGTCAATCTGATTGCTATTCTGAATAGAAGACCTTGTATTTTTCCATTTGCTTTCACCCAGATATTCCTGTTTTAATCCTGTTTTCCAACCAAGAAAAGCAAGAAAATACACTATAATGACTTATTGATAATATGCAATTTCTTAACTACCCTTCCTCCAAAGACTCCTAGGGGTGGAAAAGTCCAATGGCAGTTAAAGTAAGGCTTTCTTATGGATAAGTGAATTGAAGGAAAATTGATGTGAAGTATGTATGTGGGCGGATACATGAATGGTGTGTGTGTGTGTGTGTGTGCGCGTATGTGTGTGTGCACACATGTGTTGAATTTGGCAGAAGCGGAAATGATACTGGCAGAGGTGCTTGGGTGTGGAAAACATTAAAAAAATGACTTTGAAAAAAGACTAAAAATTAAGACCCACATATGTTTAATCATTCCATAGCCAGGACATGCTTGCACAGAGAGTTGTGTTTATGTATTCCTTTTTTAAGCCCCATCTGTGTGTGGGGAGGAGGGGTGTGAGAAGGGCAAATAAACTAGTCCATGAACCTCATATCCTTACTGCAGAGAAAGAATTCTTCTCAAGAACATCTTTTGTAAAAACCTCTGGTGCTCTAAAATTTACTGTTAAGAAATCTCACAAGAAACAATAGGAACTCATTAGAAAAAAAGTAATTTAATGAGATTTACTATTTTTTAACTCTGCCAGCCCAGCTGCACTTGCCCTGAAGAACTCCATAATTTATTTAAATGATCCAAAGCTTTTAAAGTTAATCTTCCAGCAAAAACTTACCCTCTGCCCCTAGAAGAGTGATTTTTTGTGTGTGTTGTAGTATTGCTTCCCATGACTGATATTTATTTGACTCTCAAGTATGTTTACATTGTTGGCTTAACTGGGAGTTCTTCACTGAATCAATAATATGTTGTATTTCTTGTTTCGAGTAGCATCAATATTATTGCTATTCTTTTTTCTCCTTTTTTCCTTATTTACCTGCAATTACAAAATTTTTCTTTGGCTGATGAAATTATGAAAAAATAAAATAAATTTCTTTTTAATCTTTTGGGAGATGTGTGCCTCTTTAAACTTTATTTACAGCAGAACTTAAGTGCAATGAAGGATGAAAGCTCCGGACAAGTTCCCCTGCTTCTAGGGAGTGTTCAAGGCTAGGTCTCCTGGAGGTGAGCCTGCAGTTTGTCCTCAAAAGTTTATAGCTCACCCTCTGGCTGTTTTTTTTTTCTTTTGCAAAGGGCATGAGAAGGGACTAGAAATAGAGCAGAGTGGGAATCTGGCCCATCATGACCATTCAGAAGGCTCTGACCTGCAAAATTCCTTCGTATGTCACACAAACAAACACTTTAAATGGAGGGGAAAATAGGCTTAAACAAAGAGTGAAACCAGTTCCCATTTCAAACTCTCCTGCTGATAAAGATATGTGCCCATTCTTTTGTTTCCCAAACATCAGTTTTCCATCATGTAGACCAAGCTTCCACCTGAATCTCTCCAATTTATAGGAAACAAGTATTTTGAGATTTAATAAAATGGTACGTATATATATTAGGTACATTTTGTCAATGGGTAAACCTAATCTTCCAAAAGAAATACTATGATGGTAACATACAAGCCTTTGAATCTTACTGTATTTTTCAGGCAGTGATACCCTCCTTTTTTTTTTTTTTTGATACCCTCCTCTTAATTGTCCCATCTACCTGTGTGCTACAGGATTAACTTTAATATCAGTGGAGAAATAGACAAACATCAAAAGTCATCTGTTTTGTTTTGTGCCATTTATAATTTTCTCTTGTCACTCATGCTCACGTCTCCTTCCTGATTCTTCTGCTAAATGCCTTACTTAGGTGCCCACTCCATGGGCAGCATGTCCTCCTCACCTACCTGCCCCTCTGAAGTATGGAAGGTTGCACCTATATTTCTTGTCTAAAAACTATGATCTATAGAAATAATTGGAATTCTTTTGCCATTTAAGGATCCCGAGTTCTCTGGTTATCTGAATTAACCACAGAAAACTGCTTAGGTACACATTTCTCTTTATGTGTCCTCTGTTTTGCTAATAACATTAAGAAAATACTTTTTACATTGTAATCCTTCAGACTCTTTATTTCTTCTTTTCGTGTCAGCTGAAATTCATATGTTCTCAGTAGCTGTGCACCCTCAGAAAACTTATTTAAATTCTATGAGCCTTAGTTTTCTGACTTGTTAAAAGGTGATAACATCAATAGTTTATAATAGCTTCTACCATGTGCTAGGCATAATTTTAAGGACTTAAATATATTAGCTTAACTTTTATGACTTCATGGTGTAGGGAACCAACAGTATCCCCACTTCTCAGATGAGAAAACAGACATGAAGAAAGAAAGTACCTTGGCCATGAGTAGAGAATAGGAAATGGTAGAGCTGGGCTTATGGCTCTGATAGTTGATTGGCTCTCAGAGGCCATATACTTACCAGTATGTTTATTGCCTCTCTATTAAACTATTGAGCATAAAGGACTTAGCACAGTGTTTGGCACATAACATTTACCCTCAGCTAGTATCATCAATTTCATACCATTTCTTTTTTTATTTATATATTAATTGGTACATTTTAGGTATACAATACATTTACATTTATCATTGGGTGTTTGTACCTGAACATGATGTATCTTAGTTCTTATTTTTTTCCCTATTACC